CTTTTCCTGCTTCAGTGTCTGGAGTCTGATTACAGGCATGTACCACCATGCCTAACTTTAAATGAAAAAAACAGTCAGGCAAACAATAACAAAAACCCCAGGTACCCCATAACAACAATAAAAAGTCATTCAATATTGTAGTATTCCCTAAGGATCTAGGTGTCCTTTTGTCTTGATATCTGTAATATAATAACTGAGTATAGAAATGAATGAACAAACAGTAAGGAATCAGGTCTTTTACTAAAAGGTTGAAGAAGGGGCTAGGATGGGACGATAGCTCAGTAAAATGCTTGCTGCATAAGCACAAGCACCTGAATTTGATCTCTAGCACCCACATAAAAAGCCAGGCATGGTGGCACATACTTATAATTCCAACACTGGGGAGATAGAGACAGAAGGATCTGGGGCTCTGCCCAGCAGCCTAGCCTAACCCATCAGCCCCAGGTTCCAGTGAGAGATCCTATCTCAAAAAACAAGGTGGAAGCTGGAGAGATGGCTCAGCAGTTAAGAGAATTTGGTGCTCCTGCAGAGGATCTGGGTTCAGTTCCAAGCACCCACTTTGGGTGGCCTGAAATTGCCTGTAACTTCAGTTCCAGGAGATCTGATACTGTCTTCTAGCCTCCAAGAGCACTAACACACATGTGGTATACATACACACACATAAAATAATAAATAAATCTTTAAAACAAAAAAAAAAAAACCCAAAACATACACACCAAGGTGGACAGGTTTGAAGAACACCCAAGGTTGACAGCTGGCCTCCATGAACACAAATATGTATGTGCACATGCACACACATACCCATACACATAAACACAAACATACAAATACACACACATGAACACAAACATACAAATACATAAACACAAAAGACTAAAGAAACCAAACTGTGAATTATTTTTTTAAAAATAAAATAGAAGCCAGGCATGGTGGCACGCATACCTGTAGTCCCAGCACTCGGGAGGCAGAGGTGGGCAGATCTCTGTGAGCTTAAGGCCAGCCTGGTCTACACAGCGAGTTCCAGGACAGCTGGGACTACAGGGAGACCCTGTCTCAAAAAGACAAAAAAAAAAAAAATAGAGCCGGGCATGGTGGTGCAGGCCTTTAGTCCCAGCATTCCGGAGGCAGAGGCAGGCAGATCTCTGTGAGTTCAAGGCCAGCCTGGTCTACATAGTTGAGTTCCAGGACAGCAGGGGCTACAGGGAGACCCTTATCATCTGGACTTTGGACTTTGTGTGGTTTTTAACCAGTTACTATCATTCTCCAGGGAACTTGAAGCCAGATAAAACCAAATAACAACAAATGTAGGAATTCTCATTGATCTTACCCATGTAGGTACACCTAGGAAACAGAGTGCCACAGAAATGAATGTTCTTTTTCCTGAAGAGTCTCAACAAGAAAAGTGGAAATCCACAGCCCAAGATGTTTCTCCTTGCATCCTGAAACCCACCAACCGGTGCTAACTGACATTGGCAGTGCCTTCTACTCTGAGCTGAGTAGTCAACCCCCAAACCATCAGAGTGTGTGTTAGGCTTACTCTGGCAGGCAGGAATATCACAGTACTTCCAGTAGACACCATCCTCATGTTCAGCAACATAGCACCAGGGGCTCACGTCTCCATCTGGATTTCTGTTGGGGATAAGGAGGGACATATTGATGACACAGCTTGTGCTTTAAGTCATCTGTCTCACTGCTTTTCAGAAAAGGAATTACTTTGAGTTCCATGTTACCTCTAATAACCGGTATGTATTTCAATGTCCTCTGTTATCAAAAAGGAAAACATGAGCTGGGCATGGTGGCTCATGCCTATAATCCTAGCACCTGAGAGGCTGAGACAGGAGAATCGCCATAAGTTTGAGGCCAGCCTTGGCTACATAGCAAGTACCAGACCAGCCAAGGCTACATAGCAAGACACTGTCTCAAACAAACAGAACTATAGATAACACAATCCTATATTTTTAAAAAGGTATATATTTAGGGAAAGCTATACTCTAAATTCTTGAAAATATTTATCTCTAGGTGATATGACTATTAGTAATTTAAAACTTTTTCTTGGGGGCTGGAGAGATGGCTTAGCAGATAAGAACACTGACTGTTCTTGCAGAAGACCCAGGTTCAAATCTCAGCACCCATATGGCAGCTAACAGTTGTCTGTAACTCCAGTTCCAGGGGATTCGACAGTCTCTTCTGTCCTCCGCAGGCATTGCACAACACGGGTGCACTTACCTACATGCAGGCAATATAGGCATACACACAAAATAAAAATAATAAAATATTTTAAAAAACATTTTTCTCTTCTAGTTTTTTCTATTATCTTGAACAATGAACATTCCAAGTATATAATTTTTATTTTATTTCATTTATTATTTTTATTTTATGTGTATAAGTGTATTGTTTGCATGTAAGTGCATCCCTGTTATGCAATGCCTGGGGAGGTTAGAAGAGGGTGTTGGAAACCTTGGAACTGGAGTTATGAACAGTTGTTAACTGCCATGTGGATGCTGGGAACTGAACCCTGGTCCTCTGCAAGAGTGCTCTTAAGTGCTGAGCCATCTCTCCAGTCCCCCAAGTATATAATTTTTAAATAGCAAAATGAATTCACATGACATAGACTCCAGTGACAAGCTTGTACCAGCAACAAGCTGTTCATCTCACATTTGACAGAAATAAGATCTTCTACTTCATCAAAATACAGATTTAAGCCTTTAAGCCCAGCACACCTTTAATCCCAGCAGTCGATGAGACAAAGGCAGGCAGATCTCTGTGAGTTCAAGGCCAACCTAGTCTACATGGTGAATTTCAGGCTAGCTGGGGCTACCAGGAGACCCTGTCTCAAAAAGACCAAAAAAAAAAAGTACAGACTCCACAGAGGTCCCTGAAGAAAGTTATACAGGCATCAGTTAGAACCTGTGTCCTGTCAGTTACTAACTTCTGATATAGCAATCACATTATTTCATATTTCATCTCATTTATTTACTGAGAACAGCTTAGAATAAATGTCCTTTAGGGTCATTTTGGCGCAGAGACATTGTAACAATAGAGAGTGACACTGATGAAGCAGGTCAACAAATGACAGGGGCTGTTGGACACATAGAAAAAGCCTGCCTCTTTTCACCAATTTCCAAGCCCCTTTTATTTAGACTCAGAATGCAGGAAACTTGACACTCCAGTTAGGCAGGAAATGGGCACAAGGACCCCAACAGGCAGGAGCTTTGGAGCAACCCATCTGGGGCCTGAGCGGATAAGCCTATTGTGTGGCCTAAAAGATAAGCCTCCCCAGGCACAAAAGAGTCTTTCATTTTTTTGTGCCCAAAGGCAGGTGCTAGTGCCAATTCTGCTCTTCCCCATCACTGTCTTCCCTTCTAATCCAGATACTTCAAGCCCAACCCAGAGAAGCCTGTTCCCATCACTCCATAGCTCTCAGACATCTCAGATGTGACTGGGCCTGAAAAGTCACAGAAGACAAACATGGTATCAGGTGTCAACTGAGAAATCAAAGTGGGAGACCTTATACAAAGCCCTTCTTTAAATGGTATTTCACTGTCATTTTCCTCCCTCTATTCAGTATTCAGCTTTGATGTAGTATTGAATAAAGCCCTTAGAAAACACTGTTTGTTATCAATGTCAAAGCAATTCTGAAAAGCTTCAGAATAGCTTAATAAAGAATGAGTAAATCATCCTACTTCTCTGCAGTCCTAAAAAAAAAGGTCTGGACTCTGTGTGATAATCATCAATTATTTCAGCCTCTCCTTTTTGAAGTATAAATTGGTAATTCAGGTCTGATATATTCCATCAAATCAGAGGGCTGCAGTTGGAAGCAGTTGGGGGAAAGGTACTCACAGCCCCCAGGTACTATTATGGGTACAACTCCTGCAAGCCAGTGAGTAAACAAAGATGGGTGACATCTATTAGAAAATTTTTTTTTCTCACTGGAAATTAAAATTTACCTTAAAGTCACACTTAAAAATAATCTTCTGAGAGCTGGGTGTGGTGGCATATGCCCTTGGTCCCAGCACTCCAGGATGCAGAGGCAGGTGGATCTGTGTGAATTCAAGGGCAGCCTGGTCTACATAGTGAGTTCCAGGCCAGCTGGGGCTACAGGGAGACCCTTTCTCAAAAAAAAAAAAAAAAAAGCTACTGAGAAGATTTAAGAAAATTTAGAGAATAACAGAATAAACCAATAGCCAACTACCAAGGACACTTTAGGGGCCAAAGAGTACAGCTCAGTGGTGGAGCACTGCCCTAGCATCACAAAGCAAAATAAAGCAAAACAAAATAAAAGCAACACACAAACAAAAAACCCCCCACACCTGCACACAAAAAACCACTTTAGAATATGAATATAGTAGCTATGTTAAAAAAATCCAAACCGAACAAACAAAAAACAGTTACTCATTTCTCTGCCTAAGCATCCTTCCCAATCCAACTATTCCTATGAATAGAAAAATCAGGAAAGGTAGTGTGTCAAAATGAATTAAGGGAGTGGGACTAATTATGTAGGTGTATGAATGTGTGCCAGTGTGTGTGTGAGAGTGTGTATGCACATGCTCCAAGGTCAACCTTGGGTGTTGTTCCTTAGACACAGTTCACACTTTATTTTTTTGAGAGAGGGTCTCTCACTGGCCTGGAAATTAAGGCCAGCAAGCCCCAGGGATGTGCCTGTCTCTGCCTCCCCAGTACTGGGATTACAAACCCAGTTTTTTTTAATGTGGGTTCTGGGGATCAAATGATGGTCTGTAGGCAAGCACTTTACCAACCTATCACCCTAGCATTTTTTTTTTCTTTCTTTCTTTTTTAAACATTTATTTACTTATTTTTGTGTATGTGTGTCCATGGCACACCTTTGGAGGTCAGAGGACAGCTCTTGGGAACTGGTTCCCTCCTTCCACCATGTGAGTTCTGGGTATCAAATATAGGTCAACATAAGGCTTGGCAGTAAGCACCTTTATCCATTGAACCATCTCACTAGCCTACAATTTTTTTAAAATTATTTATTTATTTATTTATTTATTTAGGTCTTTTTGAAACAGGGTCTCCCTGTACCCCAGCTGTCCTGGAACTCACTATGTAAACCAGGCTGGCCTTGAACTCAAAGAGATCCACCTGCCTCTACCTCCCGAGTGCTGGGATTAAAGGTGTTCACCACCACGCCCAGCAATATTTTATTATTTTTTTATTTTATGTGTATGAGTGTATTGCCTACATGTAAGTGAGTGCACCCGTGTTGTGCAATGCCTCAGAGGTCAGAAGAGGGCTTCTGATTCCCCTGGAACTATAGTTAAGGATAGTTCGTGGCAGCCATGTGGGTGCTGGGAATCAAACCCTGGTCCTTTGCAAGAGCAGTCAGTACTCTTAACTGCTGAGCCATCTCTCCAGCCCCATGAGTTTTTATTTATACTAAAAATTAATTTGTAGAACTTTGAAAATAAAATGAAGAATTAAATAATGAGCACGTTAACTTCAATAAAATTAAAAGGGCTGGAGAGGAGGCTAAGCAGTTAAGAGAGAGTACTGATCTTCCAGAAGACAGAGATCTCTTCTCAGCACCCATGTTGGGTGGTGTGGGGACCTAAAGGCCCCGCCTTGCCAAGATGGTGCCGAGAGGAAGTTACTGGTGTGCGGCCTGACTTGTTTTGAAGATCATCGGATTGGATGCCTCCATAAGCTTTCATGGACTCCTGCCTGCATGCATGCATTGACCTTTAAGCTGATTGGAGAACTATGAGGGGGTGGGGGAATTATAAGCACCCTGCCCTGCTGTAACAAACAAGTTCCTGCTTGACTAGACTCCCCGTTGCATCTGATTGTTCCTGGTGCTGGGGGCATCAGGGGCTGGTGAACGGCACGCTTACTCATCCCCAGTCATCCTTGCGCTGGGGTCGCAGGCTCGAACCCCCCACAACTGGCGCCCAGCATGGTGCTCGAAGGTAGGTGAAAGGAAAAGGATCAGGGCCAATCAAGAGTCCAGGGTAAGCGAGACCTGAAAAGATGGGTAACGCAATTAATAAGCTTGAGGACCCAGCACTTAAGGCACTGAGAGATATGCTTAAAGTAGGGGGTTGGATCTGTCAGATCCGGCAGCTCAAAAGGTTTGGGCAGAGGCCGTCCATTTGGCTCCCTGGTTACTTGGGGCTAATGTTTGGGGATACATGGAAACGTGTGGAACACCTAGCTCAACAAAGGGAGGTTCAATTGGGGATGGATCTGCCGCTGGGGTTCTACCCTACTATCTTGGCCTTAAAGGCATGCTTTTGGCCTGAGAGCCCTAAACCCTCAGCGCCACCTCCTGATGAGCCTTCAGAAACCTCAGCACGGAAATCATGGGAAGAGCTTGAGGAAGAACACAGAAATGCAACAGAAGTGAAACCAAAAGCGGCCAAAGTAACAAGTGGCACTTCAGGTGTGCCCTGGCCAACTTCAGGGCTTCCTGGGACCCATGAAAACTGTCCCCATTCTCAGGACCTATGGCTTCCTTTTTCAGATGGAGAGCAAAAATACAGGGAGATAAACAAAAATGATCCTGGGGATCGGCCGCCCTCTTATCCTGGCCCTGCTCAGGAGGCTTCTGTGAGGCCACGGGTGGAAGCGAATCCTATTAATGTAAACCCAGGAGGCACTCACCCTGACTC